GCTGCATGATTTCCTTTACAGTTTGCACATATTACATCTTTAATTTTTTGTTTGATTGGACACTCCTTGGTTTGATGATATTCAGCACATTTAACACACACTGCTCTTTTGAAACAGTAATTTTTCGTATGTCCGTACTCTTGGCAGTTTTGACACTGAGGAATTTCTCTTTTTATGTTTGATGGTTCGAATTTGATTATTGTGTGAAGATATTTGGTTATTTTGTAGATGTCCTGACTTTTATAATCATGTTCGATTTCAACTATGAAAAGCGGTAATGATGCTTTTGTGATGCAATGCATTATCTTATGAATACTTACAAGGGAAGGCAGGGAGGTGTCTGTCACCGATTTTCTTTAAACTTTGCATACGATTAGAGTATCAAAAAATATTAGTTACGTATTTTTTTTAGCGGCCTATATGGTAATTTAGGTGGTAAAAACAGGGTTGCCAATTATAATTATCTACTCGTACATACGCTTGAAGTGCATAAGTTGGCGAGACGCTAAATTCAAATTATCATATCTCAGTGAAAGAAAAAGATATCTGAACGATTCAAAATTCATTTTGAAAGGAAAGACTCATACTTTAAGATATATTAATTAGTTTGACCGAAATAAATTATCTTATGATCTTACATAACCTCAAATATGTGTAAAAGTCGTGTTTTTTGCACTTGAAAAGATTTACAGTGTTTCTTTTGTAATGTTTTTCGTTCTTTCAAATGGGAAACTCAGTTTTTTGGGTCCAATTCCAAAAACTGGCCCAAATCTGGCTCAACTTGAAAATTTCAAATGGAAACTACTGTTGCTTATGGCAGATTCGAATTATGGGGGAAAGTACACGTTCAAACGTGATATCAAATTTTACCGAAAAAATTTGTATTTTGAGTACCAAAGTGGCACCAAAAATAAAAACCTGTGGTTTTTGGGACTTTTTGAATTTCACAATTTGTTTGTTCGCTTGTTTTTGTTTCTTAATTTTTTTCTATTGTTTATTATAAATATTATGCAAATTTTTGTGAAAAATGATTTTTACGCAGTTTTTCTGGCTCAAAAAAAAATTTAATTTTAGTTAAAAATTTTTCTGAAAAAACTATTATCAACCAGTTAACAGTTTATTATGATTTCTGTTATTATTATTATTATTATATTGTTATTATTAGGAGATGTATTATTATGAATTGTTATTGATTTTCTTATGTTCCTTATCGTATTGTATACTGTAACGGTTGTTGATTTCTTCAAAAGTAAATCATCGTCCGTTAGCAAAATCTATATGTCACCGCTGTTTTCCTCTTTTGGCTAGCTCTGTGCTGGACGCGCAACCTGAAAATTAGCGCGAAAGCACGGAACAACAAAGAAAAGCGATGGTCGAAGGTTCTTAGAAAACGTTGCGAAGGAGAGGAACGTAGAGAAAATTCGGGACTATCGAATGAATTTGCCGACTTGCTTAGCATATTTCCAGCGAATTTATTCACTACTTATTTTCATATTAGCGCACATTTCACATTGACCGAGAAATTCGCGACGCACAGCCTAATTACACGTACGCGTGAGAGAGACACGGAAAATACGATTACGAATGGCACGCTGCCGACGCTGTTTACATACGCTTGCTTCCCGGAATTCTCGCACGTAATACTGTTACAACGAAGGAGACTTACGCGGGCGAACGCTGCTGCAGACAGCAATTTTATCATAAAAATGCAATCCCTCGTACATAATCAGTTATCTTCTTCGAGGTATCGTAATACTTTTAAGTATGCATGGTTTAAAAGTGGTTATATTGATAGACCTCCAAAATTTGATAATCCTGATGAATTTTGCTTTGCCATAAAAGAAAAACCTGTATGTACCTACGAAGATAACATTGCAATTATAATTTGTAGTTGGTGTAAAAAAAAGTTATGCTTCAATCATTTTTTTCCAGAGTATCATTATTGTAAGAATTATACACTATAATTATATAAAATAATTCTCAAAAATATCAAACATATGTACGGGATAAATAGAAAGTTGTATTTTATATATGTTAATATGTATATGAATGTAATTATTAAAAAAAATAAATAAATAATATTTATAATAAACAAAATATATAATGAAATGTTTTTTTATTGCCACTTTGGGACTCAAAATACAAATTTTTTCGGTAAAATTTGATATCACGTTTGAGCGTGTAATTTTCCCCATAATTCGAATCTCCCATAAGCAACAGTAGTTTCCATTTGAAATTTTCAAGTTGAGCCAGATTTGGGCCAATTTTTTGAATTGGACCCAAAAAACTGAGTTTCCTATTTGAAAGAACGAAAAATATTACAAAAGAAACACTATAAATCTTTTCAAGTGCAAAAAACACGACTTTTACACATATTTGAGGTTATGTAAGATCATAAGATAATTTTTTTCGGTCAAACTAATTAATATATCTTAAAGTATGAGTCTTTCCCTTCAAAATGAATTTTGAAGCGTTCAGATATCTTTTTCTTTCACCGAGATATGATAATTTGAATTTAGCGTCTCGCCAACTTATGCACTTCAAGCGTATGTAGATAATTATAATTGGCAACCCTGTTTTTACCACCTAAATTACCGTATGGGCCACTACAAAAAAATATGTGTCCAATATTTTTCGATACTCTAATCGAATGCAAAGTTTGAAGACAATCGGTAACGGACACCTCCCTGCCTTCCCTTGTTAGTACTTTGTGTCCGTGATTTTCTATGGCAGCTTTTAATTTTTCGGTGTCAACTGACGGATGCATGCTTCTTAGAATTACTTTGAAACCGTTTTCTTCTTTACGCTGGTAGGTGTAGAATTGTGTCTTTTTTCCTTTCAGCGCATTTATTATCGGGAGATACTTTTCCGATGCTGTTGGTTGAATTTTAATTTTATCTTGCCCTATTACTTTTAGTGTAAAATTATTTTTGGTATTTGTGTTTAATAATTTTTCTAACGGTTGGATATCTTCTACGTTATAAACAAGGATCGGAGGGGATTTGTTTATCGTTTTGTTTGCTTCGTTACTTCCTGATTTTTCATCTTCACAATGATTATTTAGTTTATCAACTTGTAGTATTTCGAATCTATTTATAAGTCTAATTTTGCTTGTTTGACAGTTTGAATAATTTGTGTTTCATTGCCTGGAGTACTGCAACTGCTTGGGCTTCTTTTATTAGAAGCGATTTTTCATTCTCCAGGTTTATCTTTATTGTTGGATGACGAATCATCACTTACTTTTGTGGCCATTTCGTCCGTCTCGTTTTGTAATTCTATTAAACGAGTTTCACCTTTAACTGTCACTTATGCTATTGCTATAACTAAGACTTTTCCGGTAGAGCGCAGTTTTAACATATCTACTCACCTCAAGGTTTAAACGCTAACTGTTTTAGGAGTTTAATATATGCATTACCTTTTATATTTGATGACGCTCCATCTATTCTTAACTTTATATTTTGGTGATTAATACAGGTGCAAATATTGTACAATCTTTTGCGTTGGCTCACTAATAAATACCTTTTAGGTTGGAGCTGAAAAAATGTATTGAAACCAATTTCGACGTCGGAATGATGTATCTTTAAAAGTACAAAAGTCTTATTCAAATTGTAAAGTATTAAACAATTTGACACTTTCCTACGTTAGTCATTTTTTCTGACAACCATACAGTATTTCATTCTGAGACAACACAATGTAGATACGCAATGTTTGAACTCGAAATATAATAGATTGCATAATTTCATAAAATGCAACGATTAATATGATTCAAAATTATTAATTGATTTTTAACTAGACAAGCTAATTATAATCCTTGTGTGACGAGGACAATACAGCAGTAAAAAAATAGTACAGCAGCAGCAACAGAGTTCTCTCTCTCTCTCTCTTCAAGTCTTCTTTTACGACTATTTTGATGACTTTTAGGACTACTTCGAGGGCTTGTCTTAGGACTATATTGAGAGCTTTCTTGAGAACTATTGTATGCTTAAAACGTAAAGCTCTAGCCGTTGTTCCTTTACTTCAACGCGAAGAAAAAAAACTCTTTACTTCTCTCCCTCTTTTGAAATTGATATCTCATTCGTATTTTAGACTTGATAAGAAATTGTGATATGGGAAAGGTGTCAAATTAAAAGAAACACTTAGGAGCCAAATGATATATAATTTTGGCTCCAAGGAAGAAAGCCTGTTGCCAGGCAAAACTCCCTCGATCGGAAACTAAATTAAATTTATAAATAATAATGTGCGATATTGTGGTGTATGTGTGTGTGTGTAAGTCGTTGGTTGTTCGTCTAGTCGAGTAGGCTGCGAAGCAGCGGTTGATCAATTGATTGTGAATTGTATAAGCTGCGAAGCAGCGGTTGAGCGATTGATTTTTTTGTTTGAATGGACTGCGAAGCAGCGGTTGAATGCGTAAATTTTATGAGTGCACGTCACGTCAGAAATCGAGAATAGAAATAATTGGAATGGGGGGAATGATGATAGAGAAATAGAATTGAAAAAAAGGATTAAAATTGTAAGATGAAAGGATGCGTGTCGCGACCGCGCACACGGAGGACTCGCGAACAGAAACTCTTTATGCGATACTATTGAATGACTACTGCTTGTAATTTTTAATTCTCTCGCGAGCGATTAGTACGTCCGAAAATGTTCAATGCTGAATCTGAACTAAACCTTTTTCTTCTTCGACACGCGACCTCTTGTGAGAAAAGCAGAGAAAGCGGAGAGCGAGAAATAGAGAGAGAGAGAGATAGAGTCATAGGAGAGATCAAAGATTAGATAAGAGTTTGTTTTGAAATGACGTGGCGCGCTAGCTCATAGTGTTGATTGGCATGATAGTGTTATTAAGGAATAACGATACGTTTGAAAATGAATTGAAATTTAGTCGGTTTCGACTAAACATGCTCCCCGCGTTGCAAATCGGTGAGCAATGTTCAGTATTTAGTCAGTCCAAAGTCATGTGAATCGTGTTTTACATATAAATATTATACAAGCAATATAATCAACTAATCGCAATTGTTTGTAGCAACAGGTAATCTGCACAGCTGCGTGACGTTCCGTTTGTAAACACCGTGAGTCGTTTTTACTGTGACCACTCTCACAATTCCATCGCTGCCTGTATGGACTTCGGTAACGACACCCAAACGCCAATGTCTACAAGGTTGATTTTTGTCGATGAGAAGAACAATCGAATTGATTTCGATCTTGTGATTTGAATTAAGCCAACGCTGGCGTTTCTGTAACTCGTTCAGATATTCAAGGTGCCATCTCTTCCAAAAGTCTTGGCGTGCTCGAGTTATGAAACGCCATGTAGATAGACGATTGCCTGGAATAGATAATAAGTCATCATCCGGTAAAAAATTCAATGGTCTTCCTATCAACAAATGGTCCGGAGTGATAGCTGTTAAATCATTAGGATCGGTAGAGATAGAATACAGTGGACGAGAGTTTAAAATCGCCTCAATTTCTATTGCGAAAGTATTCATTTGTTCAAACGTTAGCAATTGATCTCCTACAACACGTTTAAAATGGTGTTTGAATGATTTGACACATGCTTCCCACAAGCCTCCGAAATGCGGTGAAAGCGGTGGATTGAAGTGCCAATTGATATTTTTATTTACTGCGAAAGTATCGATATCGGAGCGGAATGACTCTGAATTCAAAAGCGCATACATCTCGATTAGCTGACTATTAGCTCCGACAAAATTTGTACCGTTGTCTGAAAAGACGTGTGAAGGAATACCGCGTCGCGATATAAAACGTTTAAAAGCTCCTAAAAATCCCTCGGTGGTTAGGTCACTTACGATTTCGACATGTGCGACCTTTGAAAACATGCACACGAACACGCATCCGTACGCCTTTACCTTATTCCGGTTCCGAAACTTCTTTTCCTTAATGAAAATCGGCCCAAAGAAATCTACTCCTACGTGAGAAAATGCCGCACTTTCGTTAACCCGACTCGAAGGTAAATCGCTCATCTTGCTGTGTAACATAGTAGGTCGATGTCGTACGCATTCCACACAATCACGTACGATTTTACGAACTTGATTCCTAGCATCGAATATCCAAAAGCGTTGTCGTATAGCTGACAATGTCGAAAGGCAACCTGCATGAAAATTTCGCAGATGTGTTTCTCGAATTATTAAGTCGGTCACATGGTGACGAGAAGGTAATGAGAGGGGGTGTTTTTGATCGAAAGCGATGGTTGCGTTTTTTAAGCGGCCTCCCACGCGTAAGAGTCCGTGTTCGTCGAGAAAAGGGTCGAATGCTGCAATTCGCTGAGTTTTTGCAGGCTTAGCTTGAGAAAGAAGAGAAATTTCACTTGAGAATTGCTCTCCTTGAATGATTTTTAGAACGATGCGCTCAGTTTCGCGTTTTTCTTGTACTCCGATAGCTCGGCATTTGTATTTATTAGTTGGTCTGAAACGCAAACAAAATGCGATGACCTTCAACAACGTCGTATATGAGGAAAATCGACTGAATATGTCGTTTCTCGTACCGCTAGCAAGACTTACAACGGCTCTCAGCCCTGGCAAAGATTTCAGTAGTTCCATCTTATCGACGGGCCACATAGCCTCAGAGTTCGTCAGCCATATAGGGCCCTCTAACCACGATCTATTGCCAAGAAAATCGACTGGCAATTGCCCACGAGAAAGAGCGTCGGCTGGGTTATCGTTGGTTCGAACATGTCGCCATTCACTCCCCGCGCTGAGCGACTGAATTTTCATGACTCTGTTACCTTCAAAAACCTTGAGAATATTTGGCGGTTTCTGCAACCAGTGAAGCACAATAGTTGAATCTGACCAAAGAATAATTTTGTCTGCTGAGAAATTAAAAGCCGGTTGCACTTCATGCAACAGCTCGGCCAATATCAACGCGCCACAAAGTTCAAGTTGGGGAATAGTTTTAATCTTAAGAGGAGCTACACGCGACTTGGCACACGCAAGTCTGACTGTTACGCATCCGTTCCTGTTCACCGACCGTACATATATACACGCGCCGAATCCTCGCTGACTCGCGTCACAGAACCCATGAAGATCGATCTGTACCGGGTCGTCTATCAAGAGTCTACGTTGAATAGTAAAATCGCGAATCAATCCTAACTGCGAAGCGAATTCTAACCAACGCGAATGTAGTTCCTGCGGAACTGATTCGTCCCATTCGCATTTCACCTTCCAGCAATCCTGCATTATCCCTTTCGCGTACAAAATTACCGGTCCTAAGAACCCGGGCAGATCGAAAATCTTTGCGATCTCGGAAAGAATGACACGTTTTGTGATTCTGTTTGATGTGTCGATGTCTTTAACTGTGTACACAAATTCATCGGTCTTTGCATTCCAAATGACCCCAAGCGTTTTTGAAATCGTTTCTCCTTCTGATGCATCGAATTTGAAAAATTTTTCATCGAGAGAATCAAGCGCGTGTTGATGATTAGAAGCCCACTGTCTAATGTTGAATCCTCCGCGGCGTAATAACTCTATAATTTCGTCACGTATTTGGCGAATCTCGTCCAAAGAATTGGCCCCCGTAAGCAAGTCGTCGACGTATAAATCTCGTTTCAAGATTTGTGAGGCGCGTGGAAACTTGGTCTCTTCGTCGTTCGCAAGTTGATGAATGAAGCGGATAGCTAAATAAGGTGCAGAGGCTACCCCAAACGTTACTGTGTTTAATTCGTAGACTGCAATCTGTCGTTGATGGTACCAAAAAATTCGTTGAAATTTTCTATCTTCCGGTTTTACGAGCACCTGTCGGTACATTTTCTCGATATCGGCTGTCAACACAAAAGTGTGTGTTCTGAAACGGGTGAGAATTACAAACAACTTATCTTGGATAGGTTGCCCGATGAGTAGTAGGTTGTTCAAAGAAACTCCTCGATCTGTTTTCGCCGATGCATCGAAAACGACTCAAACCTTCGTAGTGTTGCTCGTCGGTTTTATCACAGCGTGATGAGGCATATAGTAGCCATCGGAAGTTTCGTTCTGCACCAACGACATGTGTCCTAATTCAATATACTCATTCAACACCTTGCTATACTCAACTTTGAATATCTCGTCGCTCCGAAATCTACGTTGCAGTGCGAAAAAACGACGCAACGCGATAGAGCGCGAGTTACCTAATTCGGTTCGGCTTTCCTTAAAGGGTAGGCAAACGACATACCTACCATTTACTTCGCGAGTAGTAGTATCTTGAAAATATTTCTCGCATTTTGCTTCGACATTGATTTTGGCCGCGTGAATTCCGACTTCCTCAATCTCCCAAAACCTTTGCAACTGATGGCTCAATCCTATTACATTACAAGAAGCCGTAGACCTGAGCTCGTCGTTAATCGCACCTCCCGCGATGACCCATCCTAACAATGTTTTCTGTAAAATCAAATCGTTCCCTCCGCGCGACAGATTGATTTGTCCCACGGAAAAAAGGGATAACGTAGCGCCCGAGCCTATTAACATATCCACACCGCGTGGTATATGAAATTTAGGGTCTGCGAGTTTGATGTTTGCTGGAATATTCAGCCCTTCTCGAGCAAACGGTTCGTCCGGTATGAAATCTGCGATTTTTGGAATTACGAGAAAATTTAATGACTTTGTAAAATCGTTGTAACGCGAATGGATTTGAATGTCCATCCTGTTTTTTGCGATTGTACTTAAAGAATTAATCGCGCCTACAAAGACATTGCAAGATTTCATAGAAAGGCCCAAGTTGTGAGCAAACTTATCAGTGACAAAATGTGCGGTTGCACAGGTATCTAATAACACACGTGCTTCAATGGCATTCCCCTTTGCGTTTTTACAATGAATCAATGCGCTCATCATAAGCTGAGATCTCGATGACCGCGAAAGTGTTTGAAATATATTGACGTCTAGTCATGCCTGCGAAGTGGTAGGCGCAGGCTGCTCGTTACGGTGCAGAGATGTGTGATGGGTTTGATTGCATTTTTTGCATTTGCCTGAATTACATGTGCCTTCATGTTTGCCCAGGCAGTTGCGACAAAGCCTTTTCTCTTCTATAAATGCCCATCGATCACCGATGCTATCCTTGTTGTATTCAGGGCAGCGGTATAAATAATGTGAATCTCCACATCGTAAACAGGGCTTCGTTATGGCAGCAGTCATCAAAAGGCGCGCACTGTCCTTCTTGAGCCTTTTTGTATTGCCCGTGTCTGATTCTCCTGCGCGCTTCTGTTCTATTTCCCTTTTAATACGCGTAATTTCGGTTTCCATTGTTGAAAGACGATAAATAGTTAAATCGATAAACTTGAAGAATTCGTCCAGAGTCGGAAACTCGTCGAGCTGAAGAGATTCCTCCTATTTTGCACGTATATCTATCGGTAGGGCGCGCTCTAAGATTCGAACCACGATTTTTTCATCCGGTTCGAAATTTATGGATTTCAAAACGGATAAACGCTGACGTGTGTCGTCCACGAGCCGCGACAAACTAGTTGCGGTTGCGATGCCTATGGTCGGTGTATCAAGAAGAGCATCTACATGCCTTGCGATAAGAATACGCTTGCGATCATAAGCGTCTATGAGCGACTTCCACGCCTTTTTATAATTCTCAGCCGTAGCGCTAAAAATAGCTATCTTTCTCGCGGCTTCCTTTTGTAATGCATCACGTAAGTATAAAAACTTAACTAAATCGTCAATATCCGTGCGCGTAGCTACCATCGATTCGAATGAATTTTTGAAAGTAATCCATTGATCACAGTTTCCATCGAATTTCGGAATATCAGCCACTGGCAACTTTAGTTGACGCTGTTTTTCTAAAAAAGTGGAAGATGCCGTAGGTATATCTCGTCCCGTTGAAGCGTCGGGTACTGACCCTTTTAGGATTGGGTATCGATGCAACTCGAGACGCGAGCGCGTAATAATCGTTTAATAAAGCTGTCATACGTTCTAGTGCTTTGTTTGTGGGATCTTCCATTTCTACCACGTCGTGTAACTCTTCATGCGCATGAAAAAGATCGGTCACTCTCTGCAAACGGAGGACAGCGTTTGTACGATCTACGGTACCCTGCTCTATCGCGTCAGAAAGAGCCTTGATTTGCCGATTCAAAGCATTTCATTTTTGATTGTAAACCTTGATATGTGAAGTCATGTTTAATGCAAATTCACTTGCAAGATTCTACAGAGAACTGGACTGATTAGTAGTTGTAATGCGCACGAGAAAATAAGAACGAATATTAACAAAGAAAAAACTTGCCGCCTTTATGTGTATTTATGACCACGTGTTTCAATACCAACGACAAAAAAAAATACGTGCTTTGTGAAATGCCGAGTCGAATATGTCTACTTGAGCTACCAATGCTTATCAATGCTTTCTCTAGTCCTAACACTAACAAATCTGAAATTTCTCGAACTACAGAAACAAAGGAAACTACGATGTAAATCGAAATAAAAAACTCGCGCCCTTTTTTTTACGCGATAAATTTTGATATAATTTTTTACACTTATAGAGTTAATATATCGTTACTTATCTTTGTAGTTTGGTCGATCCACTTAGTCGTATTATGCTGATCTTCGTACCTCACAGGAGGCACCAATTTCTGTATGCTTAAAACGTAAAGCTCTAGCCGTTGTTCCTTTACTTCAACGCGAAGAAAAAAAACTATTTACTTCTCTCCCTCTTTTGAAATTGATATCTCATTCGTATTTTAGACTTGATAAGAAATTGTGATATGGGAAAGGTGTCAAATTAAAAGAAACACTTAGGAGCCAAATGATATATAATTTTGGCTCCAAGGAAGAAAGCCTGTTGCCAGGCAAAACTCCCTCGATCGGAAACTAAATTAAATTTATAAATAATAATGTGCGATATTGTGGTGTATGTGTGTGTGTGTAAGTCGTTGGTTATTCGTCTAGTCGAGTAGGCTGCGAAGCAGCGGTTGATCAATTGATTGTGAATTGTATAAGCTGCGAAGCAGCGGTTGAGCGATTGATTTTTTTGTTTGAATGGACTGCGAAGCAGCGGTTGAATGCGTAAATTTTATGAGTGCACGTCACGTCAGAAATCGAGAATAGAAATAATTGGAATGGGGGGAATGATGATAGAGAAATAGAATTGAAAAAAAGGATTAAAATTGTAAGATGAAAGGATGCGTGTCGCGACCGCGCACACGGAGGACTCGCGAACAGAAACTCTTTATGCGATACTATTGAATGACTACTGCTTGTAATTTTTAATTCTCTCGCGAGCGATTAGTACGTCCGAAAATGTTCAATGCTGAATCTGAACTAAACCTTTTTCTTCTTCGACACGCGACCTCTTGTGAGAAAAGCAGAGAAAGCAGAGAGCGAGAAATAGAGAGAGAGAGAGATAGAGATAGAGTCATAGGAGAGATCAAAGATTAGATAAGAGTTTGTTTTGAAATGACGTGGCGCGCTAGCTCATAGTGTTGATTGGCATGATAGTGTTATTAAGGAATAACGATACGTTTGAAAATGAATTGAAATTTAGTCGGTTTCGACTAAACAACTATTTTGACTTTTCCGAGGACTTATTCAATGACTCTTTTGAGGACTTCTCACTGAATTTTTTTATTGTACTTTTTAAGATTTTTTTACGCCTTTTCAGGATTTTTTCAAACCTTTTCTATACGTTTGTAACACTATTCCTCTAATTTAACGCATTTTGGGGAAATATAATTCCCACGAGCCATGTAAGGGCCCGTGCTCAAGCGCCGTGTCACAAATTATTAAAAAGGGGAAGGTAAGGGAGGCTCTTTCGCTTCTCTGAACGGTGACGATGGGCTTCGTCACTAAATTGGCGTTTTGGGCTTTGGATTGAGAGGAAGGGAATGACGGGCGCACACACTGATCACTCCCTATATTCATTAACAATATTTATTTATTATGCAAAGAGGCACGTTACAATAATTTGAGAGGACTACAAAGGAGGAACTCTTTTATTCGCCGATTTCGCCGTTTTTGCTATGCTCCCGGAAGATCGCGAGCACCTCGCCGACGCGTCGCGCACTCGCGAATAGAGAGAGAGAAAGAGAGAGAGACGCCCTGACCTGGTGAAGGCTAGTGGCAGGAAATGTTGCTGGTACTGGTGTCAGGAAATGTTGCTGGTGCTGCAAGCAGGTTAGCGGCAGGTCCAGGTGAAGTCCACGATGCCTTAGACGTCGCTGGGAATTCTCTTCTGGCTGTAATCTGCTCGGCGTCGTTTCGCTTCTTTGTCTGTGCTTAAATATTCGGGTTTATAGCGTACGTACGCTCGACCGTCACAATTCGATCTTTCTCCCTCAAGATCTCGGTTCGAACTCTCTCCCCAACCATTCGCGCATCGGCTCGAGCAAAGCCGGCGGCTTCGCTTTCGCGAGCGGATCGCCGTGGGTCGCTCACGCTCGCTTACTCGTTACGCACGACTTGTCAATCTCTCTCTCTTCTTTTTGTCGCAGCTGTTCTCGCTCCTAATTGGCTCCCAATGATGTTGCTCGGCTCAGGTAATTGTCCTGAAATAAAGCGGTGCGAGCATCGGTATCGGTTCGTAATTTCCACCACGCTCGCCAGGACAACAGTGAAGAAGCGAGCTACGAGAGAGAGAGAGAGAGAGAGAGAGAGAGAGAGAGAGAGAGAGAGAGAGAGAGAGCCAGACAGGGCCAGATATTCTAGCCAAGGCCCCGTCACACGTTATTGACTTACAAATCACAAAATAGAAGGAATCATAGGTATCACCACGTCCTTATCGTTAGTTCTGGTTTAAAAGCTAAAAGCGGTACAAAATTTTACGATTACATTATTTAAATATATTCCAT